GCTCGAGAGCGCGCGCGGCGCGTGCCCGGGGGGCCAGCGGCCCCCCCAGATGCGCCCCGCCTGACCGCCGTGGGCCGGGGGCGCCCCTGTACCCGCCAGTCGGGAGGCGCGCCCTGGTCCACGCGAGGAGCAGAATCGTCAGCGAAGGGTACAGCTTTCCCACGATCGAAGTCGAATAACAAACATTGAAAACTGCACAAGCATGTAAACGTTCGGAGCTCCGCGCGGAGTTTTAGGGGATCGGCGCTGAGCCCCCCATGGCGGGCGGCACCTCTGGCGCCGCCCCTGGCGCGCTCCGCGCGCCAGTGAGGGGGTCAGCGCAGATCGAAGAAATCCTCGCGGACCTTGGAATGAGTATGGTTATGCAGCTGTTTCTTCCTTTAAACTCTAGATAGGCGATAGGCTCTCTAGCCTCGGCCAGCCTCGGGGAACGCCGAGGGCGTTCCAGGGGTGCCCTGACTGTCCCAAACAGCTGCCCGAGATCCGAATTACGGCTCGAAAGCCGAAGCCCGAGCCACGGGGAAGCATCGACGCCAAATCGCCAACCAATCGCCGACAGCGGCCCGATAGCCCAACCCGCCCAGACTCGTGCGGATTTGGTATCGAGGGCATATCGCTGATCTATCGGCGAGGTATCGCCGATTCCACCTCGATGTTTCCCACCCTGAGCTGGTCCCCCCCTGCCTTTGCGCCCCTCACACGATCGAGGACTCAACTGTCCGATATCGAGCTCTCGTGTTTTTGGGGTGCATCTAGCCTGGTCGAGCACGCTCAACTGTACAATATCAAACTTTCGTAGGTTGGGATGCGTCTAGCCTGGTCGAGTATGCTTCAGTCGAAGGCTATCCCTCTCGACATCCTGAGCCAAGGGCTCACACGGAAGAAAATGGATCGCATTGTTACATTACAGCATGCCCCGCAATGTTGCATTATTGTGGCATCACAACAGCCCTGGAATGCAGGATCAGGAGCGAAACATCAGCATCCCCCACGATATTAGCTAGTCAACCCTGGCGTGTTTACACGATTTCGATCTCTGGGAGCCGTCATAGGGTCCTGGGGCCATCAGAAATGGATCTGGAACGAAGACGGCCCTTGGGAAGAGGTCGTCGAGACCGCTGGGGCTGCGGATTGAAAAAAGTCACAACGTTGGATGTCTGGGGCACGATGCAGGATCAGGAGCGGAAAAGGCACGCACGTGTGAATGACAGGAATTCGTCGCTTCTGCCGTCCGCACGCGCGCGTCTCCAGCTGCGAGCGCGCCGCTTCCGAGTCGGGTGCACTGCGGCCCTTTGCGCGCAAGTTTGCGGTCTCCCGCTTGCCCTTCATCAACAAGGCTGGGTGCAATTCACACGTGTGGACGCGTCCCGTTCATGTTTTCGTGGCGATGCGGTCCCCTCGCCGCAGGAGGGAAAAGTACGTGGAATTCATTTGCGTTTCGAGAGCACGCGTTGCGCGAACGTTCGTATCACGAGGCTGGCCTCGCGGGCTGGAGACAGCGTTCTCATGGGCGTGCCTGGGCGCGTGGAAGAGGGGGCTCGAGGAGTCTGAGGATCGAGGAACGGGACGACCGCGGAAAAGGGTCTTCGGAGACCAGCCCGCGGGGGGACGGCGCCGCCGGCGCCGCACCGATTTCGGCACATCTCTCACACGCTTCATGGCCCCACGGTGAGCCCCGCCGAAGGTCCCAGCGGCAGCGTCCGCACGGCGGCACCGAATCCGTTTCGCCACACTCACACGTGTCGTGGCCCCATAGGGAGCTCAGCCGAAGCTTCTCGACCCCACAGGAGGCTCCGCCGAAAGACCCAGCGGCTGGGCTAGCACGGCGGCAAACGTTTCGTGGCCCCATACTGAGCTCCGCCAAAGGCCCCAGTGGTTTCGTTCGCATGGCGGCACCGCACCCGTTTCGGCCCTCAATCGTTTCAAGTAAACATGATGGTTCAAGTAAGCGTGATGGCACAAGTAACCATGATGGTTTAAGCGAGCTATTGACATAGTAGGCCCCCGTTTTTGTGTGCGGTTTGTTCTGCAATGGTCCCCAGCGTTGGTCGACTGATTGACAAAGCAAACATGAGATCGGTGGACATAACATGCACACCTGTACCCAGCGACGCCGGAAACGTCGCAAAATAGCATAGTGCATTTCTGACACATTAGACAGTATTAGTGACAGTTCGCGCATGCCAGCGGATTTTACAAATCAGGTAACACGTATTGGGGACGCGATTATCAGTTTTATTTGTCTATTGCACCACGTAGCGGGATGCCAACACGTGGTGCACAGCACTGCGCATCGTTGCCAGCAGCGCGTTGACTGCGTTATTGAGAAGCCCTCTGAATTCAGCGGTCGTTCGAACGAGTCGGAAGCACGTTCGTTCGCCAGCGTCGTTGGCACAGTTTCGGCAACATTTGACAATAATGACCTGTTCATTACATCATCTGATAAACTGAGTGATTGGCGGAAGCGTTTCCCTACCGAGTGCGACGAACGCAAGGGAGATGGCGATGTTGATGGTGCGTATCGTTCTTGTGACGCTCAGGCCGAGCCCTTTTTCAAAAACGAGCGTGGGTGATAAGATTGGAATCATCCTAACGCGACGGACTGCGATAAAACAGCTGAGGACGAACAATGCATAGACAGATCTGGACTCGATCTGCTATTCGGGAGTGTGGGAATCTGTTTGGGAAGGGATTTTGAGTGAACAATCAACGTCTCAGCTCGTGTCAGACCATTGCAAGGATATTTTGTGTCCGTGGGCGCAGAAATAACCATAATCTCAGGGGCAATGGATGCGATCTCCTCGCGAAGTTTTGCAATTTACTTCCAGCACGCCCGCAGTCGGAGTTCGAAAAACATTATGATTATGTGCATCGGACCCACATGTGGCAGAGAGCGTGCAACATGTTCCATGGCCCAAGTGGCGATCTTGTTCCGGTAAGTCAAACATGTTTTGAGGTTCGGAGTTGATGGGCGACGTCGTCTTTCAAATCTTACATTACGGTTGCTTGGAACGTTGGAGCGCAACACAAGTTCGCGTGGCGGCACACGCCCCAACAACGTCAACCAGCTCAGGACCTATTTGATTTGAACATAGGCGCTCCGGCGCCGCGCTCCTATAGGGGCCGTCCTCCGAGACGTATCCGGCGTCTCGCCTCTCGCTTCTCGCCCCGCAATTCCCGTAGTTGTATATGATCGGGTCCATCGCCAGGATATGTTGCTGACAGGTTTGGTTCGCCAGCGCGCAGTAGGCAATATAAGCCCCCCCGCCCCCCTCGTCAAAAACCAGTGCAAAGTAGTCGCGGGGCGCCCGCGCACGCTCCAGCTTTGGAGGCAGAGTGCATTTTCCAACCATCCTGTGGTGCCGGGTCTTCGTTTTGAAGAGACAGCGCGCCGCGTCACTCCTCTCCTCCCCCTCCCCCCCTCCTCCCATCCTTACCTCTGCCCTCCTCATCCACATGTTTCGGCACGCCCCTCACACGTTTCGCGCCCACAAAAGGAGCTCAACCGAAGGCGCCACTGATGCGCTCGCACGACGGCGCCGCGCCCATTTGGGCACACCTCTCGCGAGGATCGCGGCCCCATGGGGGCCTCCACCGCAGGCCCCAGTGGGTGCGCTCGCACGGCGGCATTGCACCAATGTGGGCACGCGCACACACACACACACACACACACGCACACACACACACAAACACACACACCTCACGAGGATCGTGGCCCCACAGGAATCTCCACCGAAGGCTCCAGTGGATGCGTTCGCATTGCGGCTCCGCGCGAATGTCGGCAAACCGCGAGGATCGTGGCCCCTTAGGGTGTTCCACACAAGACCTTACTGGATGCGTTCGCATGGTGGCACCGCGCCCATGCCGGCACACCCTTCACGAGGATCGTGGCCCCAAACAGATTCCCACCGAAGGTCCCAGCGGCTGTGCTCGCATGGCGGCACCGCACCAATTTGGGCATACCCCTCACGAGGATCGTGGCCCCTTTGGGAGTTCCACAGAAGACCCCAATGGATGCGTTCGCATGGCGGCACCGCGCCCATGTCGGCACACCCCTCACGCGGATCGTGACCCCATCAAGAAGTTCCGCCGAAAGTCCCAGCGGCTCCGTTCGCATGGTGGCACCGCACCCACTTGGGCACACACACACACGCACACAGACACACACACACACACACGCACACATCGAGGATCTTGGCCCCATGGGAGGACCTCCACCGAAGGCTCCACTGGATGCGTTCGACCGGCGGCACCGCATTCATTTTGGCACACCCATCACAATACATCACAAGAATTGTGGTCCCATAGGGAGCTCCATCGAAACCGGTACCTACAACGCGGTACTAACAATTGCATTTGCTTGGGCCTTTTCCCATAATAATTAGAGATTTCTGTATTTTTGGCTCGTCCGCACCAGTGGGCACTTAATTCCGCCACGCCCTTTCTTGCTGCTGTCCGGCGACTCGTGCCGTCGCGTCGCCGCTGAACATGAACACTTCGCGTTCCTTGTCGCGTTGGCGGGTGGGAAGCTCGTGTCCGGCGGCCAGGCCGAGCCCGGTTGCGGCGTACCCTTTCTTGGGCAACCCTAAGTTACCTCCAAGCACCTTTTTTGGGCAGCACGTACTTCCAACCACGCTTCGTGGGCAGAGCGAAGGTATCTACAAGCACATCGGAACGAGACCAGTGTAGGGTTCAAGCTTTGTGCAAACGCGATCCTTACCAGCATCACTCTTCCATGTGCTTTGTTATATAGTTATATAGATGTATCGTTCGTACCCCTATTTATCACTCTCTCTCTCTATCCCTCAGTATTTCTCTCTTTTTCTATCGTTCCCTCTTTGTCTCTCTCTCTCTTTCTTTCCATTGTTGTTATCTCCCTCTCGTTCGCTAGATAGATATATACAAACGCGCGTACATACACAAATGTGTTCAAATGTGTTTTTATAGTTGTATATATTTCGCATAATACAAGTTTCTATATATCTCGCTGCTCCTCTTTCCCCCGGCATTGTATGGGTATGTGTCTCCCTCGCTTGCTCTCTACACATGTGTATACGGCTTATATGTATACATACATGTATATATATATATGTATGTATGTACGTT